TATAAAGCGATTCTCGAGTTTTATAAAATGATCTCTCGAGTTTTATAAAACGATCTTCGAGTTTTATAAAATGATCTCTCGAGTTTTATAAAACGATCTCTCGAGTTTTATAAAACGATCTTCGAGTTTTATAAAACGATCTCTCGAGTTTTATAAAACGATTCTCGAGTTTTATAAAATGATCTTCGAGTTTTATAAAGCGATCCTCGAGTTCTATAAAATGATCTCTCGAGATTCATAAAACTGTTTCGTTTACGCGTTTGCGGGGAATTTTGGCTATTGATTCCGTCGTACCGATTTTGACCCCAACAGTATTCCGGATTTTTCCAAATCCCGATACATCCAGATGATCAAGAAAAGACAACTTTCATGTGCCCCTATGGAACCATCGCATATCGGAGAATGCCATTTGGTCTGTGTAACGCCCCCGCTACTTTCCAACGCTGCATGATGTCAATCTTCACTGATATGATAGAAAATTTCATGGAAGTCTTCATGGATGATTTCTCAGTTTATGGATCAAGCTTTAAAATTTGTCTCGACAACCTATGCAAGGTTTTGGAGAGATGTGAGGAAAAGAATCTGGTCCTCAACTGGGAAAAGTGTCATTTCATGGTCAATGACGGAATCATGCTCGGACACAAAGTGTCCGCAGCAGAAATTGAGGTAGACAGAGCAAAAATAGAAGTGATGATGAGTCTACCACCCCCAACTAACGTAAAAGATATCAGGAGCTTTCTAGGACATGCAGGCTTTTATAGGAGATTTATAGAGGATTTCAGCAAGATAGCCAGACCCCTGACTACTCTCCTTTGTAAAGACACTAAGTTCGATTTCACACCGGATTGCCAGCAAGCATTTGAAAAGATTAAGAAGGCACTGATAACTGCACCCGTCGTACAAGCACCTGACTGGAACCTCCCATTCGAGATAATGTGCGATGCGAGCGATTTCGCTGTAGGAGCAGTTTTAGGGCAACAAAAAAAGAGAAGAAGCTACATGCTATCTATTACGCCAGCCGAACTCTGGACGACGCCCAAAGGAACTATGGAACAACCGAGAAAGAACTGCTTGCAGTAGTATACACTTTTGAGAAATTCCGTAACTATCTAGTAGGCTCGAAGGTTATTGTTCACACTGATCATGTCGCTATTCGGTATCTAATGCAAAAGAAAGATGTGAAACCACACCTTATCCGATGGATACTCCTTCTCAAAGAGTTCGATATGGAAATAAAGGACAATAGGGGAGTAGACAATGGTGTCGCAGATCATCTTTCTCGGATCAGAATAGATGAAGAAGTCCCTATCAATGATTTCATACCGACTGAAAATGTGTACTTCACAAATTCTTCACTCATTGGCCAGATACAACTCTCTTCTGAATTTGCTTCGGCCGTTGATACTGAAGGTAATGATTTTGGAGACCTGACATCGATCGATGCACTTTCAGTTGAATCGATCGATACTGGTGATACCATGTCGATCGATGGAAGCGATTATATTGACTTACGCAACATCACGTTTAAGATCCCCATCGCACTACAAGAAATAAGGGTTTTAATAGCATTAGATTATAGCGTTTTTGACAGTTGTGCTATTGTATACCAATATTAGTTTTTTTAATAGCGTTTATAAATTTAAAACGCTATGTTTGGTATCGCGGGAAAATAAAAAATTTTAGCCGCGTTAATTTATTAAGTATAGGCGCCTTACCATTACAGATCTAAAATTAAACGCTATCGTAAATGTTAAATATATCAAATTTTAATAAAAAATACTTTTTTTTGAACAAAAATAAAAATACTCTAAGTTAACCTTTGGGCAAAGACTATTTTTTTTGAATAAAGACTATTAAGATAAAAAAAACTTCTCTCTCTAGGTTTTTCTCCAACTTCTATCTAAAAGACTCTCAACTTAAGAACTTTGCGCCGGTGGCCGGTGGTTCTCTGCCGCCGGTCACCATACTCTTTTGCTTTTTGTTGATGTATTATATTTCTCTTCCGTTTAAGCGGATTATGGCTTCGCTAGGCGACTTGTGTTTCTTTTCGTACGGAATCGGTTTTGCTTTGTTTATATTTCGTTTTAAGCTTCTTCTCTCTGTTTTAACTTTAATTCCAATTGTTTCTTTGAAAGTTCTTTTTCTTAGCTGGTTATCCTCGATCTTCATCTCTAAAGATATCAATCTTTGCTTAATAAATTCGAGCAAAGTTTTCTAAAGAAATGAAGAATTGAGTTTGGCATGTTCACTTTATGTTCTAGCACAGTCTAAGAAAAGTCAAAGCTTGTTTGAACAGGCGTTTTGACATCGATTGTGTCTGAACCAATTAAAGCTCCATGGTGAATCAAACATCTGGCGAAGAGAAAGAACGTTTAAAAGGAAATAATTGGTGATCTGGGAGATTGAAGCATACAAATGGAACAAAGCCTTGGTTGCCCTGTGATAGAGAATGAGAAAAGTTTGAGACTTTGTTTGCGACTTTGGGAGATGGAGATTCCAAGCTCTGATGAGATACTTGAGTGTATGAGCTCTTGTCTCTCTCAGATCAAATGGCGACTCAAGCTCTCTTCAAAACGCCGCCTCGAAATAGGTTTCCATCTTTCATTCTCACAGATTCTGTATCAGATTATGAAGCTTGAGGATGCTTTTGTTTGAGATTCATTTTTTTGCTTGGTGGGTTTATCAAGTTACATTATTTGTTAGGGATAAATCATTAAAAGTTTTGAACTTTAGCATCATCATCACTAGACTCTAGTATATGATCTCTGTAAGAGATGCTTAAAACGGGTTTTATTGGAACAGATGTGCTGGCACTCTTGCACGGGAATGAGACCAGTTGTGATGATTGACTATGGTGGCAAGTTGCCTGAGCTACAAGATCGCCTGCTTTCTCTTCTTGAGCTTCTCCATGAGGTTGGTTTCTACTTCCTTCTTCAGTCACATTACTACTTGAGTATGTCTCTTAGGTGATTTTGTTCATGCTTGTGTTCTCTAGGCTTTACCGATTTTCAAAGCTCTGAGGGTTATGGTTATAGAGGATATGATTTACCTGATCAATGTAACAAGACTTGCCAAGTGGTTGAGTTCAGAACCTGAATTGTTCTTTGTCGACCTGGAACAAGATCCTCCACAGGTTTCTCTTTGTTTCAGTGGTTTCTCTTTTCATGCTCCATCTCTTTAATTGGACTGAACTCACTCTTGCTGTTTTTTGTTCAAGATGGTAGAACAAAGCAAAGAATGCAGTCTAGGGATGGAACTTCAGTTGATTCAGAAGCTATTCTCAGTCTTCTTTATTCATTGATCTTAGTTGTTGTTTACAAGACACTAAGGTTACAATCCCTACATTAAACGGGTAATTTTCATATCCAACTCTTCACTCATCCATCATATAATATCAAGCCATGAAGTTTGGTGGTGTCCACGTCTCTCTGCATCTACAAAGTTCTAGTACAAAGGTTAGAGCTATTGCATATATATATTTCTAAACTCTTACCTTTCTGAACACCTTTGTGACATCTAACTTAAGATCTTCCAGGAATGGTACCAGTGGAGAAGACTCTCATTTAGAAGAGCTAACAAGGTAATAATCTATAAACCAAGACTGTGATTCTACTGACTAAAACAACAATGCGTCAATGAAAATAACTGAGTGTGTTTTCGCAGTTGTTGGATGTTTTCGCAGGTCGCTTATCCCTCAGATCGTTCAAGTTATCTATCTCAGATCTTTGTCCATGTTCTCAGTTGGAGCTGTGACACTTGCAGGCTCTTATTTAAGCTCAGATGTGCTACTTCTTGGCTCTTATTTATGAGTCAAGATTCAAGAAGTAGCAGATGTCATTTATTCTCATAGCTTCTCTTTGCCATGAACCTCGCATGTCANTCAGATCTTTGTCCATGTTCTCAGTTGGAGCTGTGACACTTGCAGGCTCTTATTTAAGCTCAGATGTGCTACTTCTTGGCTCTTATTTATGAGTCAAGATTCAAGAAGTAGCAGATGTCATTTATTCTCATAGCTTCTCTTTGCCATGAACCTCGCATGTCAAGCTGTCTCTCTCTCTCTCTGGTTTGTTTTGTTTTTTTGGTACATGAAGTGTTGTCGTGAGAAGAGTTGGTGGTCGTGAGCTTGAACACAGAGGAGTCATGGCATTGTGGTAGTGGTGCCTTGTCGTGTAACGTCTTTTTCTCGATTCTCTATCCACCAAGTCATCATCTCCTTTTGTCTTTGTGTTCTAAACAATATGTATTGACTTTGTATGTTATAAAACTCATCGTTGAGTTTGTTAGTTGTCTTTTGTTCCAAACTCTGTTTTTAAAAACTATTGTTCAGATAAATTATAAATAAAAGCATAATTTTATATCCTAAACTCTATTTCATAAACCATAATCCAAATCACATATCCCAAACATTAATAAATTTAAAATTTAAATCTAAAGTTAAATTCGTAAACTTTATTGATGTTAGTGTAGGATTATATGTAAAATGTATGTTTTATGAATTTAATGCAATGTTTATTTTGGTTAAACTAATAACAAGTTAAAAAAGAAAACCCAACACTAATGATAAACTAGAAAAAAAAAATTTACCTTATGTTCTAAACCCTAAACATGCCCTAAACCCCAACTACATATCTTAAACCCTATAATCTCAAACCCTATATCTTAAATTCCATTTTATACATAAATCTTCAGTTTTAAACATTTTAATCCAAACACTCAAATATCATACAGAAATATTCAAATTTAAACATTATAATACAAACCCTATATATACTTCTAACCCTACTTATAGCTCCAAACCTTATATCATATTCCAACCTCTATATAAGAAATATTAAATCATAACATTTTAAATTTATAACACTTATTTTATACTAAATTATGAAATTATATAAACTATAAAATTTAAATAAATGAGTATATTCATAATATAAATTCAATCCCTAAACTCCTACCACATACTTCATATTGATTTATATCATAAACCATTAAATCTCAATTTTTAATATTTTAGTCAATCACAAAATTTTAAAATTTAAATACAAAATACATATTAAAACTTTTAACTTATGATATCAAATTGTTTAAAGTTTAAATAATTTTATAACAATTAAAAAGAAAAAAAGAAGATAATATGTACTGTTTTTTCAGAGCCATTGATTGATTTTTAAATCAAAGGTCCACAATCAATCCCTATCTATCTCCGCCTTTGTTTTCTATTGGTTGGACTCGGATCACCTTCAGCACCGTTAGATCATACTGAATCAACGCTTCAGATTTGTTACTTTCTTTTTCAATTATTTTCTCAGCTTTCCAGAGAGAGGTAAAAAAAATGAGAGAGACAGAGAGAGGCGACTGGGGGTATGCTGTGCTCGAAACCCTAGCAAAGCTCCGCCTCCTTATCTTCTTCTTCCTCATCGGCCACCTTCTCTTCTTCTTTCTCGTCGGCCTCCTTCTCTTATTCTTTCTCTAAACTCTCTGGTTCTCGAAATCTGATAGATTAAGGTTCTCTGATTTTGTTGTTGTGTTTAATCGTCTTCACCGGAGTTGCACCACCACCGTCACTGATAACTTCTCTGTCTCTCAAGCTATGCCTCTCATTCTCTCTGTTTTTTTTTTGTCTTGTTGCAGTAAAGTTTTATGCTTTTTACGGTTTGATTTGAAGTTAAGATTTGTTTCCTTAATTATTTGTTCCTTGTAAAGGTGGTGGTCGTGACTCGTGAGGAAGAGTTGTGGTTGTGCAGAGGAGATGTCTCGAACTCGCCTCAGTCTAGACTCACACGAATGTTGCAGTCTCTCACTGGATTGCCAAGATCATTCTTTGTGAGAGTAAAAACTGAGACTTTGTTCTTCTCAGAGTTTTGCTTATATCTGAGTCAGCATTATCATTCTCTCTGTGTTTTGTTCTTTGCTTGATTTTCTTTTTCTGGTTTGTGTCAAACTCGGTAGTAATTGGTGGGGTTTCTGTGTATTCATCCTAAGAACTTGATTATTCAGGTTGTTGGAAGATAAATTTAGTTTCTCTACTATGAATTGCTGTCTTTAGTAACCTCTGTTCAGTATTTAGTTCTGCAAAAGGGTTGTCTTTTTTATTAATTTTACTGATTGAAGTTGAACTGAGATTGTGATAGATTTTTCTGATGTTTAATCTGTGTTTTTTTCTCTGTGTTAATTCAGAAAAATGTGAGATGGATGCTTGTGTCATTGCTTACTTGACTTCGGATATCCTTTGAAATCATTTTATTGCTATACTTTTATTATTCTGAGTTAAAAAGATTAATTTTTTTTTTAAATTGACTCAGTGCTAGTTCAGGGAAACTTGAGATAAATAATGTTGCCATCCTTACTGGTTTAATCCTCAAACATACTTGACGTTGGATGTTCCTTGTTTCAGTTTGTATCGCTATACTTTTTTGTTCCAATATCTATGTTAATTTGGAGAATTTGAGAGCGTGACATTCTCGTTATTTCATTTTTTTTCCTTTCACAGGGTTTTGACGAGTACATGAACCTACTGTTGGATGAAGCTGAAGAAGTAAGCATCAAGAAGAACACTAGGAAACAACTTGGTCAGTTTATCCTTGACTCACTATTTGATGACCGAGCCGAGCTTCTTCAGATCTTGTCTGATGCTAATGCTTAACTTTCCAGATGATGTAAGAGAACATAGGCTTAAGGAGATGGCAGAGAAAGCTAGTGGTGGTGGTGGTGGTGTAGGTGAAGCTGAACACGAAGAGAAGAAAGAGACGTAGAGCTGTAGATTTTGGTTTATTAAGTTTTGTTTAAATTTTTTAGTTATTAAATTTTTGGTTTATTTAGGTTTGGTTAATTAGGTTTTGGTTTAATTTTATAGGTTTAATGTATAAACTGATTTTATTTGTAAACAAAGTTTAATTACNCACGAAGAGAAGAAAGAGACGTAGAGCTGTAGATTTTGGTTTATTAAGTTTTGTTTAAATTTTTTAGTTATTAAATTTTTGGTTTATTTAGGTTTGGTTAATTAGGTTTTGGTTTAATTTTATAGGTTTAATGTATAAACTGATTTTATTTGTAAACAAAGTTTAATTACTGAATAAAATTGAATAATTTAAATTGTTTATATTACAAATTTAATATAATTAATAAATATTCGGATAATTTAATATTTTTTTGTATTATTTTCAAAATACAAATATTAAATTAAATTTGTCATAAATGAAATGAAACAATTACATTTTAAAAATGCAATGAAAAATTCAAATATTGCTATTGATAGAACACTACAATAGTAGTTAAAACATGTTACAGTAAAATTAAAAAACTGCTATAGTAAAAATGTTATAATAAGATTTTAGAGACGCTATTAAAAAAATTTACAATTGCATAAACGAAAACGCTATTACTAAAATAATATCAATAGCGGATAACAAAATCGCTATCTAATGGACCAGACCTATTATCGCGGGCGATGTTGGAGCGCTTTCTACAACGCTATGGTATCGTACGATAGCGATTTTCGGGTGCTGTTAAAACCCTTATTTCTTGTAGTGTCGACACGACCGTGACTGTGGCACGCCAAACACTCGCTGATAGACACAACATTTCCCCTAGTGGAGATGTCGAGCAGGAAACGCATGCTGTGGAAAAGCAATTTAGCGAGAGACCTTGGTATGCTGACATAGTAAATTATCTTGCCGCCAACGTCGAACCCGAAGAACTTAAACACTACGACATAAATAAATTTTTCAGAGAAATAAGGAGGTATCACTGGGACGAACCTTACCTTTATAAACAGTGCGCCGACGGCATATTTCGACGATGCGTGGCTGAATCTGAAATTGCTGATATCATTTACCACTGTCATGGACCTGAATACGCTGGGCATTTTGCAACCTTTAAAACGGTTTCCAAAATTCTCCTAGCTGGATTTTGGTGGCCTACTATGTTCCGCGACGTTCATGCCTTCATCGTCAAGTGCGACAGATGCCAACGTCGAGGAAAAATCAGCAAGAGACATGAAATGGAACAAAAATTTATCCTTGAAGTAGAAGTTTTCGATTGTTGGGGGATCGACTTCATGGGTCCTTTCCCTACCTCTTACGGAAACCGCTAAATTCTGGTTGCTGTCGATTACGTTTCCAAATTGGTTGAAGCAATTGCATCACCCACGAATGATGCCTCTGTTGTTATCAAACTTTTCAAAAGCATCATTTTTCCAAGATTTGGAGTCCCTCGTGTAGTTATAAGCGACGGTGGTACCCATTTTATCAAAAAAATCTTTGAGAATCTGCTCAAAAAGAACGGAGTCCACCACAGAGTTGCAACGCCTTACCATCCGCAGAGTAGTGGACAAGTCGAAGTTTCTAACAGGCAGATCAAAGAGATTCTAGAAAAGACTGTCGGAGCCACACGAAAGGATTGGTCCAGGAAATTGGATAATGCACTCTGGGCTTACATAACAGCTTTTAAGACGCCACTAGGAACGATTCCATTTCACCTACTCTACGGTAAATCTTGCCACTTACCAGTAGAATTAGAGCATAAAGCAGTCTGGGCTACTAAATTGCTAAATTTTGACATAAAATCAGCTGCAGAAAAGAGACTCATCCAGCTAAATGAACTAGATGAAATAAGACATCTGGCCTATGAGAACTCTAAGCTCTATAAAGAGAGAACCAAAGCTTACCATGACAAACACATTGTTTCTCGACATTTCGTCCCGAATGATCAAGTTCTCTTATACAACTCTCGTTTGAATCTATTTCCCGGAAAACTTCGCTCTCGTTGGTCTGGCCCTTTTACTGTCATAGCGGCCCCACCAAAATGAACCGTTAACCTTGTAAACGAGAAGGGAGAATAATTTACGGTAAATGGACAACGAGTGAAACACTATTGGGTCAAGCCCCCAAATGATAAACCCCTCCGGCTAAGTACGCCTAACTCCGCCAATGATACCCAATAGAATAGGTTAACCCAATTAGAATTTAATTTATCATGTTTTTCAAAATTAATGCATTTAGTTTCAATTAATTAATTACTTAACCTTAAGCAAAATAGAAAGCATAATAGCCTAATCAAGTCTTATCGACCGATATACACCTCTATGTATCGGTCGATACGGACATATCGAGGGCAAACACCTTTTAAGTCGATACGCGCCTCTCTTCCCCTCATAATCG